AGCTCCCGTGCTTGTTATCTCAGGGATCTGGGTCAGATCAGTGATGCACTTCCCTGCAACTGAAGTCTAAAAGTCTGAATGATTTGAATCAAGTTGCTCATCGTTTCAAAACCAAAAAAAGAAGAAGAAGAAGAAATCAAGTTCCTCCTGATTCCAAGGTGTTGCATTATCTTGTGAAATCGAATTTGGGCGACTTTTATAAGCCTGAGAAGCTGTGTCATGCAAAGCCCTAAGCTTTTCTGCGTTCAGTCCATATCCCACTTGGCACAGTATATATTGTATTTCTAATAACATAATAATGGCATGTTTGGATCCATGGACTAACAACTATAACAATTATTAGCTCCAGTTCATCCAAACAGGCTTCTAAATATTGTACATGAAGATGATCTTGATGCTGAAAAATATGCAGCCTCATTCATGCATGCATATTGCCGGCGTAACGCTGACGCACGCGTTTTTGCATCACCAGCATAAATTACTCATCCATTTGATTATAATAGCAGCTAGATGCTCATACTTACATGCATCAACTCAATTCCATTGGGAGAAAACGTCAAAGGGCAACTCTAACTGTAGTAACAGACTAACAGATCCGGACTGACCCAATGCTCATATATATTTGTATGCAACTTGTTCATCCATATATAGTTGACATTCTTATGCCTTTATGATGCGTCGTGCACCAAATGTGATGGTTAATTTGTGAGGCAACTTGTAAAGTCTCTAGTTCTTTAAAACTATACTTTGACATGTTTTATCTGTAATTTTTTGTATAACTGCTTAAATATGTTGTTTTACAATAACTTCGACTAACAACACGTAGTTTTCTCAGCTTTACAATTTTTCATTACGTATAATGTCGCATAATTAGGATTTAAAGTGAAACATCATTAATTTTGAAAAAAAAAATCATAGGACAATGTCGCATTATTAGGATGTATTGTATATGATAGTTGTAAAATAAATATTCATAGGACAATGTTTTTAGCAATCGATGATATAAATATTCGTAGGACAATGTTTTTAGCAATCGATGATATAAATATTCGTAGGACAATGTTTATAGCAATCGATGATATATGTATAGTCCTAAGACAATTGAGTTAGAAACATGATTTAGGCCTTGTTTAGTACGTGAATTTTGGGAATTTGGCTACTGTAGTGCTTTTCGTTTTTATTTGGCAATTAGTGTTCAATCATAAACTAATTAGGCTCAAAACGTTCGTCTCGCAATTTCCAACCAAACTGTGCAATTAGTTTTTTTTCGTCTACATTTAATGCTCCATGCACGTATCGCAAGATTCGATGTGATAGCTACTGTAGCACTTTTTGGGAATTTGGTTGGGAACTAAATAAGGCCTTAGCTTTCTGTGAGGAATGAAGCCTCGTTGTCGTCGTTTTGCCCAGCAAGATGCATATATAGTCAAGCTAACCTTAGCTGCTATACGTACTATCTGTATTCCACATATATAGTATATTTGTATTGTATAAAAAGCTAATAAATAACGTGCGTGATCATCGACATGTCGCAGTTGACCAGCTATATATGAAGCCTAGCTCCTAGAAGCATGCATGGTACAGTATTACGGTAGTTATTCATGCATTATATATCTTTACTAGTGGATGGATCAATAATATAATGGAACTAGACTCCAGCACAAATGACTCGATCAACGTTGAACCATATGATCATAGAGCTGACTGCACCGAGCTAGATGTGCATTCATGTATGCATCGGTTCATCACTCTAGAAATGAAAGGTCGTCAATGGCAACTGTGAAGAATGCTAATCGATATGAGATAACTACATACACTGCATGTTACCCACGTAGCTCATTAGTTCAAGTTGCAACTAAAACAAAATAACTAGCACATGTTGTCTGTTTTACGTGAGAAAGGTCATCAACACTAATTTGACAAAACTTTGAGGATCAACTTGCACAAAACCACTTGTATTTATCGATTTTTGCCGCACTCCTTGACCTCACTGACGTATAAACCTAAAAAACTGCACTGACATCAGCTTACTAATTTAACTACGTCACCGAGTATATGATTGGTTCAGCACCAATCACTGCTGCAACATGTTGCAACGTGTATTTAAAACAGAGTCCACTCGTGTTTCTTTTTTTTTTCTCTCTCTCAGTCTTGAGGCTTGAAATATTTTAACAAATATTCTTTGGGTGACAAATTGTATCAACTTCCTTCGGAAGGCTATGTCGCGCCCTATTTTATAATAAATAAAACCGAATACAAACTATGTGTGTTCCCAGTATGTTAAAACTTCACCTATATAGAAGAAATTGTGCTTTATTACCTTAGATCGAGTTCAGTTTACAGGGCGCAGTTTGACATGGCATAGTCGACTATACTTAACCAGTGTTTGTGGATAGAATCTGTTCACCATTGGTGGTGCGCCATGCAACGAGCTCCTTTGGCTGCAGAATCCCACTCTTCACAATCCTGTAGAGGCACTCTTCTATCACTGAGGAATGAGGATTCTACGCAATGCACCATGGGATCGATCAGCTTCTCCCCCGTGGCATCATCAAACCTTAAATAGTTGTGGTTTTTTCTCTTACTAACATCAAGCAGCGGAGCCAGAATCATGGATTTAATCCAAGCATGGGAAAGATGCAGGGGTCGATCAAAGCAAGGTGCGTTGAACCCCTGGGTCAGGCTGATTAGCTACAGTTTGATTCGGCTGGCGGATCGCGCAAGGAAGATGAAATGATGCAGAATTTTGGACTGGCATGTTGTTGTGCCTCCTCTCCCTGTATAATGGGTGCAACAAAAATGGGATGCAAAGGTTAACATTTTGGCCCATGAAACCTAATATTCGAACGGCTGGCCACAAATGGGTTCCATAGGTGACCTGGCAGCAATAGTTTGAGGGATGCTCTGTAGCACGCCGCTAGCTGCCCGATAGCTGAGTCAGTCAGATGACTCTTGATCTACATGGAAAGTGAGGTGTCAGTTGAACGCCTGCATTCCCGCATGCTCGCATGAACGCATGGGCTCGGGCGGCCAGGTCATGACATCAATGGTGTGGCACCATCACAAGTTTTGCATCGCAAATTGATAGTGAGTGTGAGGGACGAAAGAGGAATGAGGGATGCACAAGGACTCAAAGCGAGAGTGAGAGTGAGTGTGCACCAATTGTGAGTTTAAGGAAGGTGGATGGCGAGCCACACACCCGCACGAATGCAGCAGCACACATGGACTCAGACGGCCATATCATGACATGAGTGGTGCGGCACCTGCGAAGGTTTGGCAGCTCGAAACTTAAAGCGAGAGCGAGTATGAGGGACCAAGAGGAATATAATGAGGGGTGGACAGACTCAAAGCGATAGTAAGAGTGAGGCATAAAGGGGAAGTGACGGGCTGATGGACAGGAAGAGAATGAGAGACAGATGAAATAAATTTACCGCTTTTACTTTTGGTATAGAAGGCTTTCAACAAATGGATGCTTTTCTTATATTACATGTTGATAAAAATACTATAAATATAACAAACTAAGTTGAAGATCAATGTGAATAGGATTAGTAATGAAAATTTAGACAACTGAAAAGATAATATAACAATTACAACCTATCAATATGGAAAGATGACTAGAAGTACATGGATTGGTACGCATCCACTGGTGGGAAAGATCAGACATCATTCGGCCCTGTGGGGGCTCGCTTCAGCACACCAGCATGCGTGAGTAGTGCCCAGAGATGCGTGATGAATTCCCCTCCTCTGGCAAGAGTTTCGAGGTGCGCACGGGAATCATCAGACGGTGAGATGTACAGCATCATCTCCGCCCAGAAATCAGAGAGGACCTTCCACCTGGATCTCATTTCTGGTATGTGCTCAAGCAGATCTCTTGCAAGCTTAGTGCCCTGTGTGATTACCAGCGATGCTTCATCATCATATGCACCAGTATGGTTGCTATTTTCCATTAGTTTCTCACACTTGTTCTTCACTTCTTCATCGTCTTTGCCCCTTTGAGTATATCACCTGCTTTTTCAACTGTTTCGTCAAGTATGGATTCTGATATAGAGATGTGGTCAGGCAAGAGGTGAGGTGCGAAAGCGAGGAGATGCAAGCAGTACTGAGATAATGTGGAGGCTGTTCTGACCACGTCTTGTTTTTTGGCTTGTGTATCCAGCTGGTGCTCACACAGGGTTGTAGCAATGTGCCAGACCAGTATGGTGCGCGTTACCGATCCCTCGCAGCGGTACCATTGCATGCCCAGGATAGGTGACCATGACGCCATTTTTCTTCAGCGATGTTACCCCTTCTTGTTCTTGGCCTTGTCCACCAGGCGCAGTGTAGCATAATGGAGACAATTGCTAGCTCAACTTTTGTGGCCAAGCTCCTGGATGATACAGTACTGCCCAAGTCTATTCTTCCATGGGCGAAACGCCTGCAACCTCAAGAGAAGTCCCATGATCATCTCTTGGAAACATCCCTTTCATTGCAAGAAAGGTGTCGTGACATAGCTTCTTAACAGCGCCACCTTGAACCAACCTGAGGCTACGTACAGGTATAGCTGGTATAGCTCTAGGAATGCCAAGACAACAGTTATGAATATGGTCAAGTCAGAGAGTGTCCAGTCATCCGTAGAGTGATCCCTAACGATGAGGTAGGCGAGCCACGAGCATAGGCCAAACATGATGATAGGAAGACAGAGAGCTAAGTATCGGCCCTTCTGGTAGAGGTAAGAGTACCTTGTGTAATACAAGTCATGGACAAAAACAAGCTCTTCTTCGATGACCCTGAATGCCCGCTCATGTGGCTTGTCTCCAGCAAGTAGGCCTTTGAACACGAAGTCATGAGTTTTCGGAAGCTTTGCTTCTGAGAGCTTGAAACCAGCAAACCTTCGGTTGAGCATCTTGGAGAGCGCCATGGAGAGGCATACGTCCTTGAGCAACATGCCCCGCTCACGGAGCAGTAGATTCCCGGTACATTGCCAGATCTGCTCCACTGTGGTAACCTTCGAGCTGCCATCCTCATGGTACCATGGCATGCGCCCTGGACGCTTTGGTGCAGTATTTCTCACCAGCAACCATGTACTTGTAGCCTTCCATGGTCACTGGATCGAAGGACCTCAGCAGGTTGTCCTTGTGCTTCATGTATTCGGCGATCACCTTCATGTTCTTGCAGAGGTAGGACTTGCTCACCATCCTCATGGAAGCGATCCTCTGGTACCACTTGAGGACGCCGACAAACAGGATGGCCAGGATCGAGTGAAGGTAGCGGAAGTGATGATTTTGATACATGGTAATGTTCACAACAACATACACCACCAAGAATCCCTTGAATAGGGTATTAACATAGATGCTTTTCCAGTTGTCGATGTCGTTGAGGCGGCAGACCGTGAGGTTGTCCGTGCTTCCAAGGAGTAGAAGCATGAACACGGCCCACACAGGGAAGTCATCGAGGTGCCAATCGGAAGATTGCATCCGCCCAATGGTGAAGCTCACCAGCGGGTAGGACAGCGTGCTGACTCCCATCACCAGGGCGTGGATGACACCGTTGCTAGACCTCCGGCGCAAGGAACCAAGTATGTGTAGGATGAACATGGCGACAATGGCCAGGACGACCAAAACTTCTACTATGCCTATAAGATTCTTCCCAGGATGAATGCAATCGTTTGTGGGACTGGAAATTGGAGAGGGACTCGGAGCCAAATCCATGTCGGCATCAAGCATGGTTTCGTCCCCAAGAATTTGATCAGAGTGGGCACTGTTTACTAGTCTGTGTCTCACTCCAATGAAAGGAGTACACAGTTGGAGGGTGGAGAGGTTGTGTCTTCTAAGGCCGTATGTATGTATGTATATATAGGGAGAGAGGGAGTGAAGCATCGCTTGATGGTTGTTAGTGCTGGGAAAAGCTAACGTAACCATCCAACGTCACACAATAACGAAGCCTGCTTCCAAGAAAGTCACGCGATAGACAAGTCAAATAAAATTAAGTAATTCTTCTTCTTGGGCCAGTTGGGTGAGTTTTTTGCCACTTAGCTAGGGTTGTCGAAGTCGGCCGTCCGGTCATGCAGCGTGTATGCGTGTAACACACTAACACTCTACCATATGGCGAAATATATATTACATTTCTAGGCTGAATGTGCGTGGACATGTGACCACATTTTAGATGCATTAAGTGCACTATAAATGTTTCCGAACAACTAGGTCGTAATTATAGTCACTAGTGATTAGCGTACTACTACATAATCGAACATCACTGTCGGCCTCATCACTGCCGGATTTGGACGAACCGGCAATGATGTACCTTTAATGCCGGTTCTGAGTTTGAAAATCAAAAAATGATTAGGGGTGGACTAAAACCAACAGTGAAGGTCCACATCACTACCGGTTCGTGGCTGGCACCGCCAGTGAGTTGACGGCCACTTATCACTACCGGTTCTAGCGAAGAACCGTCAGTGATTTTGGGCTATCACGGTCGGTTCTAGCCAAGAACCGACGGTGATAAAATAACAGTACAAAAAGCTGGTGCCGTCCTCCCCTTCCTCCTCTCTTCCATGCCGAGCTACATCTGATTATTGAACCAAGTTTTAGATCTCGTACAGTTATTTTATAAATTTGTCTACATCTGATTTGAAAAAAGATGCGTATTTATTTGTGTATTTCCTATTTCTAGAGCCTCACCTTTCTAGGGGTCGCTCAAAATCGATTTCGTACCAGTAGGGGTTGCTCAAAATTGATGTTCAAGCATGGTTGATGATGTGGCCCCCTTTCTCCTATTTCTGGGTGTGATCTACTTCGACTTGAGAAAATATATTTGTGTTTGTGGCACTTTTTCTCTCTTTCGCTAAACATTTCGAAAATATTTTTATGGCGGTCTATATTGTTAACCTCCACTAGAAATTGATTTATAGTGGTAGTCAAGCACGGTTGCATGCATGTCCCTACAAATAACTTAGAGTAGTCTTTTGGTGGTCGTCAACATCTTTGGTTGTGTCATCCTAGTGTATAAACTCGCAAATCATCCATTTATATCCTTAAACTTATTCAGTTGTGTCATCCCGGTCACTAAACTCGCAAATCGTTTCTTTAGGTCCTAAAACTTAATCAACAGTGTCATCTGATCCCGATAAACTCATAATTAATTCCCATGTCCGTATCCTCAACCTCTGGCTCCGGTCTTACATCAGCCAGTCCAAACAAGTCTAGAGCTGTGCCTGTATACGAATGTGGTATCCTGACATGTGGCAGCAGATGCCAGCTCCATCTCCCTATTCCCTTCTCGCTATCACCTAAGCTCCATTATCTTCCATATCCTCAGAGTTAAAAGTGACAGGGAAATGCCCGTCGCCATTCAACGGTCAATAGAGACACGTCCAGGTGACACTATATTTAGTTGTTTTCAATTCATGTAGCGGTAGGTATAGTAAAGTTGTTTGGAAATGAATTATTTTGATTAAAATCCTAAAGTAATGTAACCATAGCGTTAATTCGTTAACTTTCAATCCTATAAATTCAGGTGTATACAACCATTTCGAGAAGGATGGTGAGTTCTTCTGTTTTCCAAGGCAGTCGAACCAGTCTATGACAGCGATGTTCAGCCTGTACCGTGCAGCCCAGGTAGCCTTCCCGGGCGAGGATGAGCTCAAGCGGGCGGACATGTACTGCCGCGCTTTCTTCTACAAGAGGCAAGGCAGCGGGAGACTCAAGGACAAGTGGCTCATCGCCAAAGACATGCCTGGCGAGGTACCCTAATTCAAGTGTTTCCTTTTGGCTAAATTGTTCGTCTTTGTTAGTAAATTTGAATATCTTTTGTTTCTTAGGAAGAGGCATATATATATGCATGATATTACAAATTTCCATTTCGCAGTATTGCGAGACACATTCTCACTGATACATGATATGATAGTACTAGAGCATTGATCAGGCCAGTTCATCACACTGTGTGGCGGATCATGGGCTTTTACTGCTCCAGTTAGCATTGTACTCCCTGCCATCTTTTGAGTTGTTACTGTTCATCTAAACTTTATTGTCTGTTAGACCCAAGGCCTTGTATGTTATGGGCTTCGGTGGACCTGGCTTGGGGGCGCTAGCTCTTTGGTATAGCGAGCTGGGCCGAATCCGTTGTACACTATAACAAGTCACAAGTGTTATCGGAGCCCATGATCAGAAAAACATAGAAAATCTTAGGGTACCTCATGGTGACGGTGGAGCCGGTTAACGTCTCGGAGGTTCACACAGGTTGTGAGTGACATTGAGCATTGGACTCAAGGCCTGGACAATGTCTTCAAGAGATCGCATGGGGTTGTGTGATGTAAAGAGTTGTGTTTGGTGTGTGATGGGGAGATTGTTAGGATTAGTTCCACATCGTAAAATTGATGTTAGGGAAGCACAACATATAAGACAGAACACCCTCCGCTATCAAACTAGTCTTTTAGGTTGAGTTAGGGCCAAGACCTTGTATGTTTGTGGGGTCCGGTGGACCTAGGCTGGGTGGTCAACGGCTCCTTGATATTGTGAACTAGGCCAAATCCGCTACACACTCTAACTAGTGGTATCAGAGCTAGGTTCATAGAAGATGTGATGGATATGTTTCACACCCCGCAAGGCTTGCACGGGTGTGTCTAGGAAAGGACATAGCACAAGTTGGGGCATGGTGACGATCAACGACTCGACCGGTGGAGTTGAAAACTTCGAGCAGGTGGCTCAAACCTTCCAATAGGTTAAAATCAACAGGGATCCGTCCAGATGTGGAGAACGAGTTGATGGCGGCTGGTGGCTGCCGTTCGATAGGGGTCAGTCAAACGTGACGACTAGGTTCAACGGTGCGGCTGGAAGACGCCGTGGATAAAGATGATACCTTGGGCTCGCGAACAAAGTAACGAGATTTCGGCCATGACCTGAGTGATCTTTGCAGGGCTCACGTGCAGGAGCAACTATGGTGGCGAAAGTCATGGTGGAGTTAGCATATTATAGAGGCGGCTTATTCATCCGGATTACGTGTAGTAAACTTGGCATCTGGATGTGGATGGAATATGTTGCCTTGGAAGTTACCGACGTACAAGAGGATGCCTGCGGTGCCGTTGCGTAAGTGTACGCGACGAGTACATGCAGCACCTGGAGTTGGGTGAAAAAAAGGAAAAGAAGTATATATGCAGGACATGCAATTGCATGTTGGGCTATTTTCGTTTCCTTTTGGTCAATGGTGAACGTGTGGGACTAGCAGACTCCTAGCGTGAGCAGTGCCGGCAACCAGGTCGGCCATGCATGCATGGAAGTGTCTAATCCGGGTGGGACAAAAAGGCATATGTGTATGTGTACGGTCAGGTTGTTTTAGTAATATAGAAGATAGGTTGCACGTAACATGGAAATAAGGCCACGGTAAACTTGTACCGTAGCTCGATCTCTATAAAAGCAAGGAGAAGTCCACAGGAGATTGCATAATAGCAATCTGAGTTGTTCATGATCACTTGTGACTGTTGCAGACGAACAACGGGAAACGCTTAAGCGGGTTGACTTTGTCGTGTGCAAGCGGTAGGACAATCAACGGGTCTTTAGAGCGGAGCGGCTATGGTGGAGAAGGTGTAGGCGACATGCTGGTCATACCATAGGGCAGAGACGATGGCAAGATCGGCGACAACGACGTAGGAGCGTGTTGGCTGATGCGGTTCTTCGTTCTCTGTGTGCGTGGAGACACATGATGCAAGCTCTTCCATTGAAGCAGTTTGCATGCTTCCAAGACAGCGAGGTTGACGTATCGATTCAATCGCTTGTGGCAGTTTGGATCGGAGGGCGTCAAGGGGCCGAATTTGAAGGAAGTATAGACAGCACAGGTCTGTACTTGCAACTAGAGTAATTTGGATGGTCAGGGTTGCAAGAGGCTACGGTGTAGGACATTAGGCTTAACATTGCAGCGGAAATGGAAGAGCAAGCCGATGTGCCAATTTTCATATGTGACTTAGTGGTTGTGACTTGTGAGTTCTTAGTGTCACGTGCGCAGTCAGATCAAGTATGGTATTGGATTCAGTTAGCTCGTGTGGTGCCTAACGGGGAGGAGACATGTTTCAGGAATATAGGCATGTCAGAGCTGTAGATGAATCTAATTTTACTCTATAGAGATCGTGTTGATAAAAAAGGGTGCATGACTCCAGGTGGAGTCATAGACTATAGAGTTGCAGGAATAGGTGAGGATCTTCTCAACAAATCAAGTTGGTGTACACGGACGTTCGCGCATGGACGACTTCAAGGTGCCCTGAAAATTCGCCAAGGTAGAGTTTGTTAGATATGTGTCCAATATGTGTACAGTTTGGTTACCCTACAACTTGAGTTGTATTAGGGGCTAAGATAGAGTGTTAGAGTCAAACTCTGTATCCTAGGGAGCCATAAATATGAGTCAACCCCTCTTGTAACCATAAGACAACTTGACGACAGGTTTAAGCGGCGGCGGGGCTGCGGGAGCACTTGGATGCACTGTAGCTTCTGTTTTATGAGGAGGAGCGCCCATAGTCATGCCCCGAGGCTCTAGACAGATGGCCAAACCTCTTTAAAAAAATATCATGCCGCGGTGTCGTCCTTGTTTGCGTATTTTCATCTATGGTGGTTATGCTTCCGTGTCCGTCGGTTACTAGATCCAATTGGATCTGGATCTAACCTTGCTCTCAAAATTGTCCACATGAACTAGAGCAACAATTAATAAAAACTACAAAATTCATGATACTACTTTTGGTTTG